CCGCTGGCGGGCTGCTATGGTCAATGAATTCGACGCTCTCGTCCGGAATCATACATGGGACTTGGTTCCAACCCCATCTGACTGTAATGTTCTCTCTAATCGGTGGGTTTTTGCAGAGAAGACTAATCCCGATGGTTCTCTTGGACGGGAAAAAGCCAGGCTTGTGGCTCGTGGGTTTGAGCAAATTCCTGGTCACGATTTTGATGAGACTTTCAGTCCGGTGCTCAAACCTGCTACCCTACGTCTTCTTCTGGGCATTGCCGTCTCCAACGCTTGGCCTCTACACCAACTGGACATCTCAAATGCTTTCTTAAATGGCACTCTGCAAGAAGAGGTATATATGCATCAGCCCGTTGGATTCGTCGACCCTGATCGACCAGATTATGTTTGCCGCCTCCGGAAGTCCATATATGGTTTGCGCCAAGCTCCCCGAGCCTGGTTTCACTGTCTATCTCAGGCTCTTCGCGACTTCGGATTTACTGCCTCCCACACAGATCCCTCCCTTTTTATTTATAAGACTGATTATGTTCATCTCTATATGCTTGTTTATGTGGATGATCTCGTAATCACAGGCAATAATCCGACTGTCATACAGCAGCTTATGGTTCATCTTCGCTCCAAGTTTGCGCTCCGGGATCTTGGTCGCCTAACTTATTTTCTAGGCCTTGAAGTTCATTACACACCAGCAGGTTTGATTCTCAATCAGCGGAAATATATTCTGGAGCTTTTGGAACGTTCTGGGATGGCTCAAGCAAAGTCCATCTCTACGCCCTGCACGCCTGATCAATTGATTCAGAGTGGGTCAGACTTGTCTCCGGCCTTTGATAATCCAAGTTTATACAGAAGTATAGTTGGCGGTCTTCAGTACCTGAGTTTCACTAGACCCGACATCTCTTTCGCGATGAATCATGTCTCACAGTTTCAGCATTCACCCACGGATGCTCACTGGGCAGCGGTCAAGAGGATTATGCGCTATCTTCAAGGCACAGCCACTCAAGGTTTGCTATTCCAACGATCTCCTCATTCACAGCTACATGGCTACTCCAATGCTTCCTTTGCCTCTTGCCCAAAGGATCGGAAGTCTGTCTCCGGGTTCGCTATTTTCTTTGGAACGAATTTGGTGTCTTGGTCGACTAGGAAACAGAAGGCGGTGGCTAGGTCTTCCACTGAATGTGAATACTGGGCGCTTGCTACTCTAGCCTCGGAGGTCATTTGGTTACAGTTGCTCCTAGCCGAACTTGGCCAATCACCAGCCTCTTCTCCGGTTCTCTGGTGTGACAATTTGGGGGCAACATATCTTGCTCACAATCTGGTGTTCCACACACGGTCCAAACATCTTGAAATTGAGTTCCACTTTGTTCGTGATCAGGTCAACAAGCAACAACTCCATGTTCGTTATCTTCCAGCCACTGATCAGCTTGCGGATGTTCTCATGAAGCCCCTCACACGACAGTCATTCCGCAACTTCTGCTCCAAGTTCCACCTCTCCGAGGTTCCACTTGCGGGGGCGTGATAAGGGAGAGATATGCTCGGCCTACCTCCCACTTCTTTCTCCTCATATTGTTATTGTTAACCAGTCTGTTGTTCTGTTTCCTTAGTTCACGTTGGTGGAGATTAGGAATAGCTGTTAGTGGGGAATAGGAATAGTGTTCTGTTGAGTATTCTCTGTATATATATCCATCAATAATATCAGTACAAACCAGGCTTTCCTAAACATCTTCAGTTCATACTACATTGCGGTCAAATATGCGGTGCGGTTCGGATTGCACCAAATCACTTATCTAAGCGATTTGGTTTGACCGCTCCATTTAAATTGCGGTCTAATATGTGGTGCAGTACAAATAACATGCGGTGCGGTGCGGTGCGGTTTATGTCAATACGGTACGGTCCGAACCGCAACAATGCCCACCCCTACTGTCATGGATTTCTTCTCTATCCCCTGCAAATCCAATCTGGCAAGTTGGTGGAATGAAGCCGGAGATGTTTGGTGTGCCTAATAGCTCCATCGTTATGTTTGCTCAATCTAGGATCTCCGGAAAAAACCATTTCCCCTTCGCCTCCATCGATTGTTCCTCCCCAGAGCATGCTCATGACAGTGCTGGAAACGGTCATAAACACCCATTGGCCAAAGTGCAAAAGGTTTTCCTCTCCAAATAAACCGTCACACATATAATTGACATTAGAATCAAAAGTCGAAGTACACGTAGTAGTGATCGATATCTTCCTATTGTACAGCCGAGGTGGTAGAAGTTTTGACAACATCAGTATGCAACTGAGAGAGAAGTTTAAATGTTACAGCACCAGTGAAGGAACAGTTATGTGACAACATCAGTATGTTCCAAGTCTTGCCGCAGGAGATCTTTTCCAAGTCCTTCCTATGTTTCCTTATTGTTCTTTCGGACTCTTCTTATTGATTATCTCTACCTCAATGTTAGTTTCTCATATTTTGCGCTATGAGCACATTCTCACAAACGCTTTATAAGCACCATAACTATCTTGAAATTGAGTTGGGGATTTCTTTCGGGTGAGTGGTTACTGTTAGAAATATAATTAGTAGAATAATAATTATTATTATTAATGTTAGGGTTTGGCGGCTAATCTAGACCGATTAGGTTAGGATTAGTTCATTAGGGTTTTGGGTTTATTTCTTATATATATGTACTTTGGGTTTACGTCATAATCAGTCAAGAATAATATTACAGAAAGTATCTCTCAAACCCTAGTCTCTAATCCCTCTCAAATCTCGTCCCTCTCTTCCTTAAAGGCCACCGGCCATTCTTCTATCCCAACCCTAATTCTGTTTTTCAATCCCTAATCCCCAATTCTCCTATCTAAATCCATAATCTCAACCCTAAATCCCAATCTCACGAGTGCCGAAGATCAGTCCCTAGAATCCCTAGAAGCGGGGTTCTTTCAATGGTATCAGAGCCCGGTTGTGGCACTCGTACCATGGTTTCGACCAACTTCGATCTCTCCGTCAAAGAACTCACAAAGCTTTTGAAGTCAAAACCACAGCCGCCGCGTCGAAAGAACCAACCGTGGCGGCCGAGAAGACAGCTGCAGCAGCAGTTGCTATTCCGACGACGTCACCCGCAGCGCCCGTTCCCTCACCAATCGAGACGAGGAAGAAAATGACAGAGACCGCCGTAGTAGCATTGGCCATCGAGAAGAAAGAGGAGTCGGAGGCGCGCGGATCTCCATGTCACCGAGAGGGCGGGTTGCCGCCGAGAGAAGAGGCGCCGGTGAGAGGGCCGCCGGAGAAGGAAGAGACGGCCGCGCTTGTCGTGTTTTCGACCGGCAAAGAGGAACCGAGGAGGAAGTTGGGACCAGGCTCGCCTGGTGGCTGTCGGGTTGAGAACAAGACACCGGAGAAGAAGGGTGGCTCGCCGACCGAGGACGAGGAGAAGAAGCCGGTAGAGAGTCGATCGCCGGTCTGTCTGCCGCCGAGGAAGACGATGACGGAGGCGGACGCGCGGCTGAGGGACGCGTTCGTGGCGGCGTCGGTTGGCGAGGATGTGCCGCCGAAGACCTCATCGAAGAACGAGGTGGATTTGAGCTTGCCGTCGGAAGTAGTGCGCGGTGCCGTCGGGGAAGGAAACGAAGAAGAAGGAAGGGTGGAAGGAGGCGGCGGGTTGTGGCTGGCCGCCAAGCTGCCGGGGAGCCGGTTTGCCAACGAGAAAGCGGAAGATCAAGAAGACGGAAGTTGACTGCAACTTTGAGGACAAGGTCGCTTCGAAAGAGGGTGGAATGTTAGAAATATAATTAGTAGAATAATAATAATTATTATTAATGTTAGGGTTTGGCGGCTAATCTAGACTGATTAGGTTAGGATTAGTTCATTAGGGTTTTGGGTTTATTTCTTATATATATATATGTACTTTGGGTTTACGTCATAATCAGTCAAGAATAATACAACAGAAAGTATCTCTCAAACCCTAGTCTCTAATCTCTCTCAAATCTCGTCCCTCTCTTCCCTAAAGGCCACCGGCCATTCTTCTATCTTAACCCCAATTCTGTTCTTCAATCCCTAATCCCCAATTCTCCTATCTAAATCCCTAATCTCAACCCTAAATCCCAATCTCACGAGTGCCGAAGATTAGTCCCTAGAATCCCTAGAAGCGGGGTTCTTTCAATTACATATTTGATAAATTGAATGGTTTTAATTCTCATCGAATAGTGATGGAAACGAGGCGAATACCTCAATACTCATATATGTTCAACATTATGTACAAGTTAGTATGAGTAGTTTTCTTACGAGTACCCTCTAAATCGCCACCTTGAAGCTCATGTTCGCGTACATATAAAGTGAAAGAAAGGGGGGAAATAGGTTGAGTAATTTTCAGAGGCAAAAATCAAACCGCTCGTAAGCAGTTCAAACTCATTTGTAGTCTACACAATCCTTTTCACTTTATTCATTTGGAAGCGGGTTGAGTTGGATGTTGATGGATTGGGTTAGGAGTGAGGGTGTGCATTGGTTCGGTCCGGATCGGACCTGACCAAATTAATGAGAACCACGGGTCCATTTGTGAAAGACATTTTAGGACCAAGGACCGGATCATCATTGCATTTGGTCCATTTGATCTGGTTTGGTTCGGTCCAAAATATAAGTTCGGTCTATCATTTCTTCAGTAATTGCAAAGTTTATGGGGACCAAGGACCGGACCGTATCATACTCAATTCTGTACGATCCGGTCGAAACACCAATTTGGTCCGGTACAGTCCTGTACGGGACCGGACCATTGCACACCCCTACTTAGGAGCCAGTTGAAAAGATGGATACATGAGATTCAGTTGGATGATTCTGGCGACACTGGCTCACAGCGAGCCAGTTGCCAAGTTAGCTCAACTGTACCAATGTTGAACTTAGATTTAGATGGAGTAACTGTTTTATCACAAAAACAAACTAAGGAAACGATTACCGACTCACCACCAGATAGGAAATTCATTCAGCGGAAGCTGAAGAAAGCTTGTGAAGATTTGTCAGTGTAATTAGTAATTACCATCAGAAGAAGATATCATAGATTTGCTCACATCAAGCAGCCGACGTAATGAGATCGAGGGTATTTCCTCTGCAGTTGGGGCCATTGCACAAAGAACTGATCAGCTATGCGCAGTTTGTAAAGCAGTAAACCGCTTAGAGACAGCTTCTTCACTCTCGCTATGCTCTCGACATAAAATATGCATGACCATCTAATCCCCACCACCTGAAAACAAAACCTTCGGATGAGTTACAACTTACAAGGCAATATTTTACGAAGATCGTAGAGCGGTTGAAAGGGGGCAGAGAATTCTGACCTTGAACAAGAACGCAATCACACACAGAGGTACACACGTCCCAGGGCCGTTGCAGAGTACCTACAATTTTAAGAAATCAGAAACTCCGGAAAACTTGGTCTAGTTGTGCTTTCAGAAATAAAAAAAGGAACTTAACTGCAAGGACAAGATAGTGGCAGAAAGTTTATACCACTTCCGGCCTGGTTCGAATCATTAACCATAGCGCATGCACAATGGCTATTAGGGTTGTCCCGATAGAGGTTATGTATGATTGACCGACTTCCCTGCTTCTGTATATCTGCATAAACTCGGCAGGTACCTTCTCGTCCTGATTCTGCCGCACGAGAAATGATTCTTAGTTACATAATTCAAAGGTAAACAACAGCAACACTAACAGGGAATGGGGACTATCATATAGTTGCCACTTATAGCTAGTTTCAGGTTAATAGTTAATACACACTTGCAATGGAGTAGGAAACCAGCAACCACTAATCTATGGCTCTGGAGCAATATTTTATTCATCCATCAATATGCACCATTGACAAGTCCCAGCAGGAGAAGAGGCGATCATAATGGAACCTATAGCGATTAATTCGACACACAATATAGATCCATATCTCAAGTTCCTACTTAACCTAAGAGTAACGGATACGGTAAGCAGGTTCTCTTGTGAAGTGATGAAGAATCAATCAAGTCCGACTATGACAGTTGTTCGTCTCAGCAATCCAGAAACAAGCAAGAGAAATAAAAATAACTGTAGAATCTAACATACCCCGTCAACTAAAGAGTCCTCCAAGACTCGAGCTTTTTGCAGACTCATATTATCAGTGGCTGCAGCTATATAAAACCTAGGAGTAAACCTGTCTTTCTGCATCACAGACAGTACATTAATCATTTCTGCTGTATGACCTCCTGCGATAACAAAGAAGAACACAAATTCCAACCTTAGAAACTGAAGAATCCAACAGTCAATAAATCCACATTCTTTCAAGAGTTGATGAGCTAGCTCCCCTACCTGAACCCAGAACAATCAAAGTACTCCGCGGGTCTGAAGATTTTGAGGACAATGGCTTCCCAGTTCGATAAAAGACATAGGCCACTCGAACCACAACCATCAGCAGGAAGATCGTGATCATAGTTGCAATAGAGAAGCAACAGTGATGTTCTCCCTCCATATCCGAATGGAAGGGAAGAACCAATGACCTAGACCAGTAGTTATGCAAACCTGTCGCCCAAGGAACACTCAAACTAAGCAATTTGATTCATCAACACACCGATTTTCACATTGCAGCACACGGATTATTTATTCCATCGAGAAAATGAAATGTGCCAGAGCACCAATCTCGATTGAGAAATTATCAGCTCAAAATTGCCTGGAAATCCACTCTACAGATTAAGAGGTTCGGAATTAGAGATGATGCCGCGGCGGACCAATAGATGGACCAGTCTCCTCTACTTAAGACAGCAGAGACGTTGGACGATGAAGATGGGCAAGCTGCGCAGGAGGGCGGCGCTGCCGACCTCGCCCTCTTATTCTTCTATTTCCCGTCTTTTCTGCAGACCAGATGAGAATTCGAAGCGAGCGTCGAGAGCCGGTGACGGCGCCGAACAGCAGCTATTAAGGATCTGGTCGACGTTAACTATTCAGCATTCCGTCCTCGCCAGGCTCTCTTCTTCTCTACCTCTACGTTGTTCCTAATGGAGCGTCTAAAGGAAAGAAACCGCAGACCGGAACGACAGAATCAGGCAGAAACGAACGCGTCCGGCCGCACGTCGCCGTGAATCGCTCCGATGAGACCAATTCTTTTTTCTCTGCCGTTTTTCATTTATCTTCCCTTGCCCTTTCGTTTTCTTAAAAGTTAAAACACATTTTCACCAGAACAACAAGAGCAACGACGACCAACTTAGCTATCCTGCTAACAAGCATTTTTGTTAGTAGATACTAACAAAGCAGGACGTGCCTCCACGTCACCAAGGCCCTAAAAAGAAAAATGGGCCCGCAGGGCCCACAAATTCAAAAAACCAAAAATTTGAATTCCCAGCCCCAAATTCAAAAAACCCAGCCCCATGTTTGCTTCCTCAGCCATTCATTCGACCATTTTTTCTCTCTCTCTAAAATCATCCGCATCTGTCTCGCTCCCTCTCCTTCTCTCTGCCGCCGCTCCCTCTCCCTCTCTCTGCTGCGGCCGCTCCTTTTACTCACTCGATCGACGACTGCGATGGTGGCACGAGGGATCGACAGCGACGGTGGCGCGAGGAATCGACGGCGACTTTGACGGTTGTGGCGAGGATGACGGGCAGTGAAGTTGCGACGGCGGTTTTGACAGCATCACGACGGTGACGGCAGCGAGACAAGAACTACGCCGATAAGGTATGTCTTCCCCTTGCTTCATTCGAACTTAAGATTGTTTTATTTCATAGTTCGTTTTTAGGTTTTGGCATGGATCGATTTTGGGTTTCATGGATTGGGGGTTTTGGCTGGCTCTGCTTGTTAATGGTTCGTTGGGGTTTGTGTGATGGATACAGGTGTTGACGGGTTTGGATATTTCTGTGGATTGCCTAAATATCAGTTGTGGATTGCCTGGATATCTGTTTGGTATATCTGAATATCTGTTGTGAGTTGCCTGGATATCAATGCCTGGATAGTTGTTTGACGAATTTGGATATTCTACTGTACAGGGAAATCACAACAATTTGGATATCTATCTTTTTGTAGACTAATATCCTTAAAGAACAAACAAATACATTCTTTAGTTAAACAAATATCAGCAAATCACAGACAAAATATCCGAAAGACCCAGACAGATATCCGAAAGACCTAACAAATATCCGAAAGACCCAGATTAATGTTAATGATTCGTTGGGGTTTGTCTGGATGTCTGGGATTCGTTTTCATGGTTGTGCGATGGATACGAGTGTTGACGGGTTTGGGTATTGCCTGGTGTGCATGATTACTATTTTGGGTAACCCAGTTTTATTTTTTGCTTATTTGACTGGATCTGGATTGCTATTATTCTGGGTTTTGTGTATCTGGGATTCGATATTAATTCTTTTGCAGCAGGATATTTGTTTTCATTTGCCTGGATATCTGTTTGGTAAATCTAGATATCAGTTGTGAATTGGCTGGATATCTGTTTGCTATATCTGGATATCAGTTGTGAATTGTCTGGATAGTTGTTTGACGAATTTGGATATTCTACTATACAGGGAAAACACAACAATGGCAAGAACTAAAGCTGCTGCAACAATGAGGCCCAGAACAGAAGCTGAAACCTCGAGGTCTAAACGTGCTAAACAATAACAGCAAGAGGAGGAAGAAGAATATGATTTTGGGGATGCGGAAATTGAGCATGAAGAATATGATTTTATGGGACTATAACAACCGGTCCGGTGAAATAATTCAAGGTGCAAAAGATTGGAATGCGAAGAAAGAAAAAGGGAAAAGGAAGAGAAGTTGATTGTAGACTTGTGTAGTGTAATATGGGTTTGTAAAACTGAACTTAGGGTTGGATAATATTTAGGGATGGATGCTATTTAGGGTTGGATAATATTTAGGGATAGATGATGGTTTGTAGCAGGATGAAGGATATTTTGCCAGATGTTGGATATAATTACTAATATAAGTTCTGATTGAAAAATATATTGTAACCTCCCAGGTAAATATCTGTCTTTTTGTAGACTAATATCCTTAAAGAACAGACAAATACCTTCTTTATTTAAACAAATATCAGCAAATAACAAACACATATCCGAAAGACCCAGACAGATATCCGAAAGACCTAAACAAATATCCGAAAGACCTAGACTAATATCAATAGAGCCCAGACTAATGTCTTTGTAGACTAATATCCTTAAAGAACAGACAAATACCTTCTTTATTTAAACAAATATCAACAAATCATAGAAAAATATCCGAAAGACCCAGACAGATATCCGAAAGACCTAAACAAATATCCGAAAGACCCAGACTAATATCAATAGAGCCCAGACTAATGTCCTTATACCCTTCTTTTGTAGACTAATATCCTTGGAGCCCAAACTAATAGTAGATAAAGATGGATAACACTTTGAATCAGAAATGGAAACAAACTCAACACAATACAAATTGATGACAAGAAATACTAATTCATTTCTTCACGGTCTCCTCGGTGTTATCTTCATCATACGACTCTGAAAAAGGGGGGAACATTACTTCGTCCCAATCCATGTGAAAACCACACCCGTTATCATTGTCGTACTCGTACATCCAACATCAGAAATACTTATTCGGTGGGTTGACTCCATGGTTTGTAGCAGGATGAAGGATATTTTGCCAGATGTTGGATATAATTACTAATATAAGTTCTGATTGAAAAATATATTGTAACCTCCCAGGTAAATATCTGTCTTTTTGTATACTAATATCCTTAAAGAACAGACAAATACCTTTTTTATTTAAACAAATATCAGCAAATAACAAACACATATCCGAAAGACCCAGACAGATATCCGAAAGACCTAAACAAATATCCGAAAGACCTAGACTAATATCAATAGAGCCCAGACTAATGTCTTTGTAGACTAATATCCTTAAAGAACAGACAAATACCTTCTTTATTTAAACAAATATCAACAAATCATAGAAAAATATTTGAAAGACCCATACAGATATCCGAAAGACCTAAACAAATATCCGTAAGACCCAGACAGATATCCGAAAGACCTAAACAAATACCCGAAAGACCCAGACTAATATCAATAGAGCCCAGACTAATGTCCTTATACCCTTCTTTTGTAGACTAATATCCTTGGAGCCCAAACTAATAGTAGATAAAGATGGATAACACTTTGAATCAGAAATGGAAACAAACTCAACACAATACAAATTGATGACAAGAAATACTAATTCATTTCTTCACGGTCTCCTCGGTGTTATCTTCATCATACGACTCTGAAAAAGCGGGGAACATTACTTCGTCCCAATCCATGTGAAAACCACACCCGTTATCATTGTCGTACTCGTACATCCAACATCAGAAATACTTATTCGGTGGGTTGACTCCATCAACAACAAGTCGTTTAGCGGCTCTCTAACCATGGTAACAGAGTATAACACCATCATATTCGAACTCATCCACCAATCCCCGAAGCGATACTATTATTGTTTCATGGGCCTTCGGCCCCTGGGCCCTCGGCGGGCAGCCCTAACTAAGGTTGCAAGCCTTATGTGTTAGGACTTGCTAGTGTGCCAACACATGTCAACAAATATCTGTAAAGCGCAGACTAGTATCCCTTAATGACGGACTAATATCCTTCCAATTACAAAAGCATATCATGTCATCACATGTCAATATCAGATCACAACATACCATTTTCGAAGAGAGAAAGAGAGTTGGGTGGTTGGACATTTAATTGCATCCCTCCTTTCTATTTTTTCATTTTCTATTCCTATTTTTAATATAACACGCAGGGCCCACTTTTTCCTTTCTTCTTCTCCCGCCCAAACCCCCTAGCGGGCCCACTTTCCCCATTTTCCTTCTCCCGCCCAACCCTCCACGCGGGCCCACTTTTTCTTTTTTGGCTGCTCCCGCCCAAAACCCCTTCCTTCTCAGCCCATCAGCCCCAATTAATAGGCCCGCGATTCTCGGCCCTTGGATTGCAGCAGTGGGGACGTGGCTCAAATCCGGCCCGTGTTAGTATCTGCTAACAGAAACACCTGTTAGCAGTTTAACTTCTGCGAACGACGACTGCCGCTTGTATTTGTTATAAAACTAATGGAAATGTAAGCAACTATAAGAGAAGATTGGAGGAGGAAAGACACAAGAGAAGTGAGGGGAATAGTTCTTCTTATTCATACTCCATTTGTGATACAATAGTGTGCTCTATTTATAGGCACCCTTTAGTAACCATTACATCAATGCATATGAATTAGAGATAATAATATAGGAATGGGAGTTACATGTAACTCCCAAGTGAGCATCTAATGTGGTAGGCCATTGGTCATCCAAATATAAATATTTACATAATACTCCCCCTTGGATGACCACTAGATTGCATTATTACGCTATCTCATGCTGCCTCATTAAAAACCTTACCAGGAAACCCAGTGGGAAAAACCATGGTTAAGGGAAAAAGAGTGCAGCGCGTATATGCTCCCCCTCATGACCACATCAGCTCAGATCTTTGAGTCGTCGAACTCCAATTTCACGAACAAGCTTTACAAAGATTGTCGTTGGGAGTGACTTGGTGAATAAATCTGCTAGATTCTCACTTGAACGAACTTTTTGAACAATTATTTCACCACTCTTTTGAAGATCATGGGTGAAAAAGAACTTGGGTGGAATATGTTTTGTTCTATCTCCTTTAATATATCTTTCCTTTAATTGAGCAATGCATGCTGCATTATCTTCATACATGATCGTCGGGATCATTTTTCCTAGAGATAGTCCACACGATTCTCTGATGTGTCGAATTATAGATCTTAACCAAACACATTCACGACTTGCCTCGTGAATTGCTAGGATTTCAGCATGATTGGATGATGTGGCTGTTATAGTTTGTTTTGTGGATCGCCACGAAATGGCTGTACCACCACAAGTGAACAAATATCCTGTCTGAGATCTACCATTGTGAGGATCTGAAAGATATCCTGCATCTGCATATCCCACTAAATCCATCTTCGATGCACTCGAATAGAACAAGCCCATATCCGTCGTTCCTCGAAGGTAACGGAGTAAATGTTTAACTCCATTCCAATGTCTTTTAGTGGGAGAAGAGCTATATCTTGCCAATATATTCACAGCAAACGATATATCGGGTCGTGTATGACTGGCTAGATACATTAATGCTCCTATCGCACTAAGATATGGCACTTCAGGGCCAAGCAGATCTTCATCACTTTCTCGAGGTCTAAATGGATCTCTTTTCACATCAAGTGATCTTACAACCATTGGATTACTCAACGGGTGTGATTTGTCCATATAAAATCTCTTAAGCACCTTTTCAACATATCCTTCTTGATGCACAAAAATACCATCCTTCAAATGTTCAATCTGTAATCCAAGACAAAACTTTGTTCTTCCTAAATCTTTCATTTCAAACTCTTTCTTCAAGCAATCAACTGCTTTTGGAAGCTCTTCGGGAGTTCCAATGATGTTTATGTCATCAACATAAACTGATATTATAACAAACTCACTACCCGATCTCTTTAGAAAAACACATGGACAAATAGGGTCATTCTTGTATCCTTCTTTCATCAAATATTCACTGAGACGATTGTACCACATTCGTCCAGATTGTTTCAATCCATACAAGGATTTGTTCAATTTGATAGAAACTTTTTCTCGAGAATGTGTTTTGTTTGCTTCTGGCAAAGTGAATCCTTCAGGGAGTTTCATATATATATATATCATTCTCAAGTGATCCATACAAATAGGCTGTCACAACATCCATTAGACGCAGATCTAGTCCTTCTCGGACTGCTAGACTGATCAAGTATCGAAACGTAGTTGCATCCACCACAGGGGAGTATGTCTCCTCATAATCAATGCCAGGTCTCTGTGAGAATCCTTGTGCGACAAGACATGCTTTATATCTCACGACTTCACCCTTTTCATTTCTTTTCCTCACAAAAACCCATTTGTATCCCACTGGCTTTACGTTTTCTGGTGTAAGGACTACCGGTCCAAAAACTTTTCGCTTTGAAAGCGAGTATAACTCCGCCTCAATGGCCTCTTTCCACTTTGGCCAATCATCTCTTGATTTGCATTCATCAATAGATCTTGGTTCATGATCCTCATTTTCATTCATCACACTCAACGCTGCAGCGTAAGCAAAAACATCGTCGACGATTATTTTACTTCGGTTCCAACATTTTCCATCCAAGACATAATTGATTGAGATCTCTTCATTATCAAAACTCTCAGGTACCTGATGTTCTTCGGGAACTACAATCTTAGTTATGCTTGGGGACTCTTCTTGAGCTTTCATATCCTCGATTTGATCAACTTGATTCATAGCTCCTTTTCTTTTTCGAGGATTTTTATCCTTGGAACCTACTGGTCTACCACGCTTCATTCGTGGTTTAGATTCATTTGCAATTTCAGATTGTCCAACAGGGACATCAACTTTCACTGGAGCATTTACAGCTGGAATGTGTGACTTTGTCACTCTTTTCTGGTCAGTAAACGAATCCGGCAGTTGGTTTGCTAAACCTTGTAAATGAATTATCTTTTGAACTTCCAGTTCACATTGTCTAGTACGAGGATCAAGGTGAGATAATGATAATTCATTCCAACAAATATCTTTTCCCAGCTGTTTGTTCTCACCCCCTAATGTTGGAAAAACTGATTCGTCAAAATGACAATCAGCAAAACGAGCAGTGAATAAATCTCCCGTCAAGGGTTCTAAGTATTTTATGATTGACGGAGACTCATATCCAACATAAATTCCCAACCTCCTTTGAGGACCCATCTTAACACGCTGTGGTGGAGCAATAGGGATGTAGACGGCACACCCAAATATTTTTAGATGGGAAATATTAGGTTCCTGACCAAAAACCATTTGCAAGGGGGAAATTTCATGATAACTTGTTGGCCTTATGCGAATTAATGTTGCCGCATGCAATATAGCATGTCCCCAACAAGAAATTGGCAAGCTTGTTTTCATAAGCAATGGTCTTGCAATAAGTTGCAAACGCTTAATGAATGATTCTGCAAGGCCATTTTGTGTATGAACATGTGCTACAGGATGTTCAACATCAATCCCAGTGGACATACAATAGTCATTGAAAGTTTGTGAAGTAAATTCACCAGCATTATCTAGACGTATTTTCTTGATTGGAAAATCAGGAAAATGTGCTCGTAGTCGTATCAATTGGGCAAGTAATCTAGCAAACGCCAGGTTGCGAGTTGATAGTAAGCACACATGTGACCATCTAGTTGATGCATCAACTAAAACCATAAAATATCTAAATGGTCCACATGGTGGGTGAATTGGCCCGCATATATCACCCTGTATACGTTCTAAAAATGTGAGAGATTCACTCCTTACTTTCACAGGTGATGGCCGTATAATCAACTTGCCACGAGAACATGCAACACATGGTACATCTTTAAACTGATAACTTTTGTGACCTTTCATTGGATGTCCACATGTATTGGCAATGATTTTCCGCATCATAATCAATCCGGGATGGCCTAACCGCTCATGCCAAACTATAAAATTATCAAGATTTGTAAACTTCTGGTTTACCACTGCATGTGTTTCAATTGTACTAATAAACGTGTAGTACAACCCAGAAGAAATAGCAGGCAATTTCTCCAATATGTATTTTTTATCGGAGACCATATTTGTTATCATAATATACTCTTTATTCTCTTCTTCCTTTGTCTCAATATGATATCCATTTCGGCGAATATCTTTGTAACTCAATAAATTTCTTTGAGACTTTGAAGAGTATAAGGCTTCATTGATATACAACTTGGTTCCTTCTGGTAACAATACACTAGCTCTTCCGGAGCCTTCAATTAGATTTGTACTTCCAGATATAGTACTAACATTTGCTTCTCGCATTTCAAGATGAGAAATATATTTCTTATCCTTCAAGATTGTATGTGTCGATGCACTATCAATAAGACACACATCATGGTTTTTGATTGTTGGAATTTGAAAGGTGTGAATGAGAATGAAAGGGGAAGAAGCCAATAGTTGGTGAATTATTGGTTAAACCAAGATTGAACCGAATCGGACCGAGCCGATGTGGCGGTTGGAATGAACCAACCGGTCCAACTACTATGGCGAACCGATGCAATGGTTGGGGTGTAACCACCCACTTGAAGGGTCACATCCCTTCACTGAACCATTGCAATGGTTGGGGTGTAACCACCCACTTGAAGGGTCACATCCCTTCACTCGCACCCCTTCATTGTCTATAAATAAACACCTACCCCCCTCTGTTTTTTGACACACAAAGATTTTTCCCAAGAAATTTTTCTGGCCAAAAGATAAAAGAATTTTTCATTCTTCATTGCATTTCCTCTCTACAAACTCATAAAGGAAAACAGAGTCGTGTGACTTCTCTCCGATCGTTGCGTTCGTCGGATTCTGGTGTTTCAAGTACCGGTACAGCCAGAAAAGGTACGTCCGTTCTATCCTGGGAGGAATAGTTCCAATAACCTTGGGTACCGTAGAGGGGAACTAAATTCCTTAAGGAGAAATAGTGAATTCTATTGGCTCGGGCGTTGTTTATGCATGTGTCGATTTCTATATATGACTTGTTTGGCAAGAAACATACTTTTGTGAAACGTTTTCCATAACAATCTTAAGGAATTTAACTTGTTTTCATTCACGTGTTCTGTTTCTTCCCAAAGTTGACGTATATGAATCTGAACTTGGTGTCCTTGCATGAAAAATTGATCGTTTTCTATTCTGGATAAATTGTTGTATCTAATTTGTTGATTGATTAACCGAGGTTGGAAGAGACTGTATATGATCGCATGATCATGAATATATTTTGCCATGCGAATGGTGGCAGTGCACTGGCAACGTGTGTGTTAATTGCATGAAAACTGTTGGTTTTGGAAAACTAATATATATATTTGTAAAAATATAATTTATACTTGGCTTTGCAACGTGTCTTTCTTGTATAATTTTGATAAATATATATATAGATATATATATGCTTGTTCTTGCCTGTCAGAAAGATAGAAGTTGTAATTGGCCTTCATGGTTCAATTCCTTGTTAATGGTTTCGTATTAACTTTGCATGTAGTCTTTCTATTGTCATCAGGAGATATGTCTCCGGTGGATCAGTTTGAAAGGAATTGTGTTCCTGTAATAGTTATGTCCATGGCCAAAGATTTTAACGGTTGGTTTATGTTTATATATGCATGCAAATGTTGTTGTCCAATGTATGCAAATTAAGTCACTGGTCAGTTTTATTATCAATGCAAAATTAGGTTCGGTTGGCAATATGTGTACTTCATCCATGCATTGTAATTGGCCATTCAGAGTTGCATATGAGTTCAATGCGTGCGTAGTATGTCCTCCATGCCACATAATGGGTTCTGTAAGAAAGTGCCTCGTCACTATAAATTGCTGTGACCTTTTGGTATCCTGTTTAAAAAAATTTATACCGGAATCAGTGGCATTCGGCAATTATACCAGAATCAGGTATTACTTTGTTTCTCTTCCATTTTATGTACGAGTATATATATTACATATTTACTCCATGCATGCATTTGATGGCTTTATGGTATAATATATTTATATATATGTGATATAATTATCATTATGCATGCAATTGATGTCGGTGCCAATTACAGTGACAGCGTGTGTCCGTTTTTATTCATTAAAATGGTCATTATTTGATGTTACTGTGTGTGTTCCAATCAGTGTGTTCATTCTGTTAGAACAGAAAATGGTTGGTAGCACCCCCGGAGTATGGAGTCCAACTCACGAGGATGATGACGATGACGTCATAGAGGTCATCAATATCGAATCAGATCCGGAGATTATTGATCTCTCTACTCCCGAAATGGAGTTTGAGAATGAAGAATGGTTCGACTTTTATGACGATAGCGGGGATGTGCTATATAATGACATTGGTGGAGAGCATCCAACCAATTATTGGACTCTAGATGGAATACCCATCTATGATTGGTACTCAATGGGTCCTAATGTGGACGATGTGGGCACCACCCATGTGGACTCGATGGAGAGTATGGGGGAAGAAGAGGAAGTTGAGGAATCGGAGAACGAAGAGGAGTACTCTGACATAGAGACCGATGAATGCCTCTCTGATCCTGACTTCGACCCCAAGAATCCTTAGGATTCTTGTATATGTATTGTAATCTCCTTTGAGGAGTAGACATATGTATGCGTGTGTATATATACATATGGTATTAATATGTGTAAGTCATGTATTTACATGATGAATAAAGGACAAATGTTCTTATCTCCCAAATGGAAAATTAGTTGGATAAAACCTTACGAGTTTGTTTGGTTCCAAAATTAACCACAAAGTTTTAATGCTTTTATTGCATTGGTCCATTTCATTTTTTTTGGGGCATGGATGAATGATAAATGTGCCAATTTAATTTGGACTTCATTCAAGGTGATGCATGAGATGATGGAAGTACTTATCATAATCCTTCATGGACTCTAAGTAAAGGTGGTTTGGATAGTAGTAAACTATCAAGTGGGAGAATATGAACAATCATAGGTGTGTAAAACCTATGGTGCAAGGCTAGTGGGGACTTGTGAATCAAGTCTATCTAAGTCGGAATGGTTGCAAACGTAATGTTCATAGTATGTTGGACATAGTTTGAAAGAGTATACCTCCAATGTGTTGGAGATGAAATTTGGTTAATGCACGTTTAAAGGTTTGCATTACGCGTAAGCCATAAGTGATAAGGAATTCTAATTACTAAGATGCTTGTGATGACATAATAATTTGTTTATTATATATGTTGTTTAGGACTTGATATTTCCTATGCCACGAGGGCAAGGAAAATAAAGCTATGATTGATCCTTAAAGGGATTTAATAAGCTTGCCAAATGATGGTCGTCATCAAGATGACTATGATTATCAACGTGGAGCTAGTTGCCAGAATTGTTTATGGTATACATAGATGTATATCATTGGAAAACAATTTGGAATGAGAGCTCAATTGAGGTGATTTGATTGAACTTAAAGACCGGATTACTTGTGGTATATTTATCAAGTTTATACCATTGGAAAGTAATTAGACAATTGAATTAGAAATTCGTTTGAATTACTTGTGGTATATCATGTTACGTATATGAAATGTCATTGGTAAGTAATTAGATGGGATTTCCATTACTGGAATGCATCTGAATTACTTATGACGTCTCAAGTTGCCTTGATCAATACCATTGGTAAGTAATTGGATGATTTTTCTAATAAAATCTGAATTGTTTGTGGTATGCTAATCGAGTGAGATCATACCATTGGTAAACAATTAGATACATATAGTGGTTGGCAAGTTCAATAAGTAAAACCAGGGAAAATAAATGGGATTATTCCATGATGTTTGGCAAAGGGTAGAATTGTGGGGGAGAAGAGCTAGCCATTGTTTCGGCTACTATCTCAAGACCCTACAATGGGACGCAAACCTATCCATAAGACAAAAGTGGAAAGGTAAGCGAAGTCATACTTGAAAGTATGAAGGTGTCCAATGAGAAAGTGAGAGTCCTTAAACCTTGTGGAGTTAACCCAGTCCAAGGGTATAACTTATGAGTAAACTCTAGCATATATTGACGTTATGTCAGCGAGCTAGAATATTTATTGATGTTGATCCACTCTTCCCAAAGAGATGATTTTGACCATATACATGATAGTATATGAACAACATTCCCCAAACCGGAAACGTTGGTTTCAACAACTATGGCGAAATAGTTGAAATGTGGGGGATAAATTGGGGAGAAGTAATGTGGAATGTCGCGTGGGTGATTCTAAAGTGAAAGTGATACTTAGAAGTTTTGCGTAAACCCTAAGCTAAGTCATAAATGTCACTACATTTAAAGAGATACTTGTGAAGCTCAAGTAAGGTTAATGAAGTGGAGAGACTTCAATACCGTTGGCATGTGTTATGATTATTGCAAGGCAATAAAATCAAGTCAAGCTCACAAGATGTGTTGTTTTTTTATATATTATATATATATATATATATATCTAGAGCAGTATCTTGGAGATCCTCCAAGCAGACTTGTATTGCTCGATCCACAATGGAATCGGAGTTCATAGCTTTGGACTTAGCCGGTGAAGAAGCAGAATGGCTTCGGAGCTTCTTGGAAGATGTTCCGTTTTGGCCCAAGCCGTTAACCCCAATAAGCATACATTGTGATAGTCAAGTGGCTATTGGAAGGGCGAAAAGTGTTATGTATAATGGAAAGTCTCGTCACATACGTCGACGACATAACACAGTGAGACAATTAATCTCTAGTGGAGTTATCTCGATCGATTATGTAAGATCAAAAGATAACGTGTCGGATCCGTTAACTAAAGGCCTAACTAGAGCATTAGTTGAGAAGTCATCGAGGGGAATGGGACTGTGGCCTAGGACAAATCATCATGGCGGTAACTCTACCTAAGTAGGATTGGCAGACCCAACCTCTAGGTTCAAGGAGCAAACAAAGTTGTGAATGATGGTCCGACATTGTCAAATTATTAAAAAGTCCATTCTCATGATGAGACAGTGTCCAAAATATAAGGGTAAACCTAAATATGAAAGGTTTTTAATGGTTTCTAAGTTTGACACGTGTTGTGATCAAATAGTGTATTTTCGGAATACATGTTTAGAAATCACCTATGTGAGTGTGAAGTGGAGCCGCTTCAAGGAGAATAAAAGAAGGCCAATTCTCTACGCACTCATGAAACCAGGCGGTGTTCATGGCTGAAACGAACACAACAATGAGAACCAACGAGCGGATAAGAGTTGGTTGTGTGACATATGTTGTCTTAGTATACAAGAAAACCGACGGTTCAAAGATATCATATCTACCGATTGGTGAGTATACTCGATATATGTTCACTAGGGAAGGTTCAAAGGGAAACCCACCTATCCTAATACAACTAATTCTTAGTTGAGAGTCACACAGTTTTTTTGCATAGTTTTCAAAACTTAGCATTCTCTTTCATGTGGGGGATTGTTGGAATTTGAAAGGTGTGAATGAGAATGAAAGGGGAAGAAGCCAATAGTTGGTGAATTATTGGTTAAACCAAGATTGAACCGAATCGGACCGAGCCGATGTGGCGGTTGGAATGAACCAACCGGTCCAACTACTATGGCGAACCGATGCAATGGTTGGGGTGTAACCACCCACTTGAAGGGTCACATCCCTTCACTGAACCATTGCAATGGTTGGGGTGTAACCACCCACTTGAAGGGTCACATCCCTTCACTCGCACCCCTTCATTGTCTATAAATAAACACCTACCCCCCTCTGTTTTTTGACACACAAAGATTTTTCCCAAGAAATTTTTCTGGCCAAAAGATAAAAGAATTTTTCATTCTTCATTGCATTTCCTCTCTACAAACTCATAAAGGAAAACAGAGTCGTGTGACTTCTCTCCGATCGTTGCGTTCGTCGGATTCTGGTGTTTCAAGTACCGGTACAGCCAGAAAAGGTACGTTCGTTCTATCCTGGGAGGAATAGTTCCAATAACCTTGGGTACCGTAGAGGGGAACTAAATTCCTTAAGGAGAAATAGTGAATTCTATTGGCTCGGGCGTTGTTTATGCATGTGTCGATTTCTATATATGACTTGTGTGGCAAGAAACATACTTTTGTGAAACGTTTTCCATAACATTGATCTTGGTGCCAAGCATGGGAATATTCATTCTTCACAAAAGATAGAAAGTAAATCAATATAAGAAAATATCTCCAAATAAATATAAAAATAATGACATGATTATAATAGATGAAATTTAACCACATAAGGATTATAAAGAGAAATTATATTAAACTGACAAATTAATAGGAAAAACACACTCAAGGAAAACGACAAAGAAAGTGAAATTTCAAATGGGAAACCTACATTTTTCACTTGTGAACAAAGCGACAACGAAATAGAAATTTCAAATGAAAATGCTAAGTTTTTCACTTGCGAACATTTCCATCACCAATCAGGTGATCTATTTTTCCTTCTGGGTGGGCAAAGAAGTCTGACACATCTAGATGAGTAGCATCATTATAGTCTTTTCCTGAATCATCTTCCTCAAAAATACAATTGGTTTCTATCTTCTTCCCTTTCAATGATTCTTGGTAGAGGTTAACCAAGTGTTTTGGCGTACGACAGGTACGAGACCAATGACCTTTTCCACCACAACGGTAACACACATTTTCGACGTGTTTGTTACAATGAACACTTTGTTCCTTGCTTCTTCTACCATCATTTTTTCCACTTCTGGGGAAAAATGAGCCTTTGGAACTTTCACCACGGCCATTACCACGACCAAGATCTCGGCCACGGCCACGGCCTCGAGCATGACCATGCCCACGTCCTCGTCCATGTCCACGTCCATGTATTTGCCCATAAGGATATTGGGTGAACGTCGCCGCATTCGCTTCTGGGAATGGGGCGGCACCAGTAGGACGAGATTGGTGATTTTTCATTAGGAGCTCATTATTTTGTTCAGCAACAAGGAGACAAGAAATCAACTCAGAATATTTCTTGAAACCTTTCTCACGGTATTGCTGCTGCAGGAGCACATTGGATGCATGAAAAGTGGAGAATGTTTTTTCCAACATATCTTCATCAGTAATATTTTCTCCACATAACAGTAGTTGTGAGGTTATTTTGAATAGCTCTGAATTATAATCACTCACAGATTTAAAATCTTGTAACCTCAAATGCATCCAATCATAACGAGCCTTAGGAAGAATCACAGTTTTTTGGTGGTCATACCGCTCCTTCAAATTAGTCCACAAAACAAGTGGATCTTTGACCGTAAGATACTCATTCTTCAATCCCTCGTGGAGGTGATGTCGAAGAAAGATCATTGCTTTAGCTTTGTCTTGATCTGATGCTTCATTGCCCTCTTTAATCGTGTCTCCAAGACCGTTGGCAGCTAAATGAATTTCAGCATCTAGCACCCATGATAGGTAATTCTTTCCAATGACATCAAGAGCCACAAACTCAAGCTTTGAAAGATTCGACATACTATCATAAAAATATACACAAATTAAAGTTAAAATTCAATAAATAAATATAGATTACTATCAAGACAAACGACTTATGTGACCCACGATATATCAATTTGATATTTTTACAAATATATAAATAAATTCGAATTTCACAAATAAAAAAATATATTAAGAAGGAAATTATACCTTTGCATTCTCAAACAAAGATTTCATGTGTTGATTAATAAAGGAAATTATGTAAATTGACATAGGACAATAAAAGAAACAATTTGGGAGAATCGACATACCTTGAGCAGAACAAATATGGATTTAACCTTTTCAAAAGGAAGAGTCTCGTGCTGATAACGTGTTATAAAACTAATGGAAATGTAAGCAACTATAAGAGAAGATTGGAGGAGGAAAGACACAAGAGAAGTGAGGGGAATAGTTCTTCTTAGTCATACTCCATTTGTGATACAATAGTGTGCTCTATTTATAGGCACCCTTTGGTAACCATTACATCAATGCATATGAATTAGAGATAATAATATAGGAATGAGAGTTACATGTAACTCCCAAGTGAGCATCTAATGTGGTAGGCCATTGGTCATCCAAATATAAATATTTACATAATAGTATTTAATTAATAACTCTTCCCTTTTTATCCATAGACATTTTCATATCTTTCAATCGAGTCCAAATAAAACCGGTCTAGTTTGAAAGTTGATAGTAGCGAAAATAAAGAATAAATAGGAAGAACAAAAGTAATCATGTATTGTGAATTCATACAAAAATTATCATCAATCAGTATAGTGTCAAACTGCCAATCTTACGATTCAGAACCAAATGAGAAAATTCACCAATCGCCACTCGCCAGGTATCCATCCAAGCCATTGCCATGGAAGCAGACTATAGCTCTGGGTGCTGTGGAAGTTGGGAACATCGATCAACCTAACTAGTGTTTGAACCCAAATGACAAACTCAAGATACAAAGTTCAACGTAACTAAGCAAAATCATAGATAGCTCGAAGAAGAGGCAGCAAAATCTACATTTAGAGGCTGCGACGAACGAATGTTTTAGGCTTCAATTTCTTAAGGGGTTAAAGACACATTTGGTCACTGAGATTACAAAATCGGGACATGTTTAGTCACTAGAAAAAATTAATATCAAATTTGGTCACTACAATTACTAAAACTGGACACTTTTAGTCACTCGCCGTTAGTCTCCGTCCAACTCCGTTAATGAAGTCCGTTAAGTGATGATGTGGCAAACAGAATTGCCTAATCAGCCGGATATAACCCAACAAAAATAAAACCCGACCCGCCACGTCATTATAACCCGCCACGTCATTTAAACCAACCCAACCCCACCCAACCCATCTTCCTCCTTCCTCTCACCTCCTTCTTTCCCCAAAACCACCGCCGCCGCTATCCTCCTTCCTCCCACCACCTTCCAACCCACCCAGAAAACCAAAAAAACCTCTTTCCCACTTCTCACCTTCTCCAACATCGAAACCAATGTAGAGCTGCTGCAGCGAGGTTAAGTTCCCCAGCTCCGGAGGAATAGTCCCGACCACCCACCATTGGTGAGCTCCATCAAGTTCTAAAGCTCGATTTCGCCGACATACCATACACATCATTGGCCCCAAAATTGGAGCTTCGACCCGCCGCCATCATCGAGTAGAAGTCGGTGTGATTAAAGCTGGACCCGCGGGGGGTCGGATTCCTGGAGGACTGCAGAGAGTAAATCTCGGCATTCGTCAAATTGGAGGGACGTAGGGTGTTGGACGAAAGTACTCCCTGCGACCTCCGCGAAAAGATATCCGATCTGGAGGCGTTCGAGCGCCTCACCGTGACGTGCAGCTTGCCGTCCTCCTTAATCTCGGCCTCCAACTCGAGCGGCTGGCGGCCATCGAGCAACATGATGTCGGAATCGACGTGAATGGAAACAATGGAGCCGGCGGTGTTGGAGAACTACTCGGAGATGAGGAGCTTGGCTCCATCGAAACCCTTCTGAAACGACGTCATTTTCCAATCCGACTTGCCGTACCGCTTGAACGACCGCGCTTTCACGATCGCGGCGGTGGCGAAGATGAGGGAGCAGATCAGGAGGCCTAGGGCGAAGACGAGCTTGAAATTGTCAGGGGATTTCGCCCATTTGCCGTTTGGGTTTGTTGTGGAATTGCAGGGGTTGTTGAGGATGGAGCTGCAGAGCTGAGGGTTCCCGGCGAAGGAGGAGGAGTTGAAGACGGAGAATTGGTCGGAATCGGGAAGCTTCCCGGAGAGGTTGTTGAAGGAGAAGTCGGCGATGGTGAGGCTTTTCATTGAACCGATGGATTTGGGGATGGTTTGGTTGAGGTGGTTTCTTGATAGGTTTAGGTTGGGGAAAGAAGGAGGTGAGAGGAAGGAGGAAGAAGGGTTGGGTGGGGTTGGGTCATGGGTTGGGTGGGGTTGGTTTAAATGACGTGGCGGGTCGGATTTTATTTTTGTTGGGTTATATCCGGCTGATTAGGCAATTCTGTTTGCCACATCATCACTTAACGGACTTCATTAACGGAGTTGGACGGAGACTAACGGCGAGTGACTAAATGTGTCCAGTTTTAGTAATTGTAGTGACCAAATTTGATATTAATTTTTTCTAGTGACTAAACATGTCCCGATTTTGTAATCTCAGTGACCAAATGTGTCTTTAACCCATTTCTTAAGCCTGTCAATTGCTTGAATCTCCAAAAACCAGGAGACAAACATCTAACAAAAACCCCCAATAGACAATCGAAGGCTCCCAAACATACATTCCAAAAAATGGTGCAATCTGGGGATTAATTTTTCAGATTATATTCCATCGTTTCATTCTGGCAGTTAGCTCCTGAATTCTCTGTATACTACTCCGAGATGTCTCTCCATCCGGTAAAACGCATACTCACTTATCTCCATATCCTGCTTGCTGCTTTACTCTCTGAACGCATTCATAATAGTTCTTGGTGAGAGAGCTGCACCTGAGGATATCGTTAATATGCTCCTTGTAGCACGCCCTGCAAGCTTCGTAGTCAGGCATGCACGGCATTGGCTTCTGGTACGGGAGCTTGAATTCCTTGCCGTGCAGATCTTTGGCTCTCTCGGTTACTTTTTGCACCATGCGTTCCTCCTGCTTCTGCAACTTCTCAAGAACCTTCTCACTCTCTAAAACCACCGATTGAATTGCATCCAGTTCAGCACTGGCGGGGCGAACAAGTGGTTGAACCGGCAAGAGAACTGGCCATCCGGCAGAAGCTGGTGGCGGCAGCAACAACTTTCTAGGATTAGGATCATCATCGCGCAGCTGCTTCACATTCACCTTGGGTTGAGGAGGTGGGCGAGGCTGTTTTGGTACCTTTTGTCTCGGTTTATTTGTTGTTCTCTTCTTTACTTTCTCATCAGAACCAGCAAGCCGATCAACGAGCTCCTTGGTAATATTAATTGTGAAGACCCCCATGGTACAAACTCCACCCCGAAAAAATTATCTGCAAAAGTTATTGAACAATTCAAGCTTGATCACAAAATGAAACTTTTAGAACATTGCAGCCTCTTCCCATTACGAAGAGATGGTTTTATCACGGGGAGTGCTAAGACAGTTCAAGGTCAATGGGATGCACTATAACAAGTAGAGATTAAGAACAAGAGCATAGCTCCATGATGAGAGCAAAAAGAGAGAAACTTAACCCAAAAAGAGACAGAATTAAACAAAGAAAGGAATACCCAAAGTGGCAGGATCTGCATCTGGAGCTGAACCAAACTTATTCCAATTACCAAAAAAATTGCAAAGTTGAAACGAAAAAAAGGAGACAGCCAATTTGTACCGATGATGAAGCTGGGTTCAGAAGCATTGGCGCAGGATATGTTTCCTACTGCTAACTAGAAACATAAGCATAGAAACCAGATGAGACTCCTCCCGCATTCAAGCTTTCTCGTCTAAATCTAAGGGTAGGGAATTTTTCTGGAGAACCAAACAGCAGAAAAGAACAATCTGCATCCAAGCAGCAAGGCAGAACAAACATGGAAAGAGAGGCGAAAATTCAACGAGTCCCCTGAATCAAACTCTGCTATTGGGAAAAAACCCTAAGTCCCTAACCAGTTCGTATCAATTGAAAACCATCCAATCAGTGTAGCGGTGACTGAAAACCAGAAGGAGCGTACGAAAATGGAATTAAATTTTCTTACCTGAAAGAAGAAAAAGTTGGGTAAAACTTTGCCGGCGAGACTCGGTTCACGATGGCTCGAGGCACGTCGGCAGTTGTTTCTGGTGTTTATTTTGGACGAGTAGATCGAGCTGTTTTCTCTGTTATTTTTTGGGTAATTAGCATAAATAGTCACAAACCTTTGCACTTAGTACAAAACAGTCACAAACCTTTAATTTGTAACCATTTGATAACAAAACTTTTTTACTTAGAACAAACCGGTCACAAATTAAACAGTGTGACCATTTCATACCATTTCAAACTTTTGTTACCGTGTCGTTGCAAATTAGACTTTTGGTGACCGCTTTGTACAAATTAAGTTCAAAAGTTTGAACGCTCAATCACCGTTACAATTCACTCTAGTTGTATGGTGGTTTTGTTAATGTATGTGAATGATATTATGTTGTTTAGGATGACAATGAGATAACTCAATGGCTCACAAACGGGTTCCAGACTGCTTTTTAGTTGAAAAAACTATGTCTACTTTCTTACTTTCTTGGTATCGAAATTGCAAGGTCAAGTGAGGGCATTCTTATTCGGCAAAGCAAATATGTCGATGCACACATGACCTGACATCTTATATGTCGTTCAAGTGGTTAGTGTCATATACTTAACGAACAAACTACCCGACCTCAAAACATGACCAACATTTAATTTGTAACGATTCGGTAACAAACCTTCAAACTTAAAACAAAACGGTCATAAATTAAATAGCGGTGACCATTTTATACAATTTCAAAGTTTTGTTACCGTATTGTTACAAATAAAAGGTTTGTGACCATTTTGTACTAAGTGCAAAGGTTTGTTACCATTTATGCTAATTACCCGTTATTTTTTCGTCTAGGGGGAACTTTTCCATTCTTTCCGCTAATTCTACCAGACTTTTGCCATAACGAGTTCGGGCTGTCTACGGTCATCTGCTGATTCGGTCCTTAACATTCTGATGGGCCCAATATTTAAGGCCCAACTAACCGGTTGACTTTGGTCGGATTCTCAGTGTTCTGTAGGTTAGAGATGGATAGTGGAGCAACGCCAGAATCATCCACCGGCGGCCGGGGCAGAGCTACAAAAGTTAGGAAAAAATCCAAAACTACTACTTTTAAAAAAAAAATTACAAAAATACTATCCTTCAAGGTCAAAACGCGCCTCGAAGGCGTGATTCACAGTCAAACCGCACGTTAAAGAGGCGGTTTGACCCTTCCTATCTGTCAAACCGCATCACCATGTGGGGACCCATAGGATCGCACCATGGGAAGGCGATCTGACGGCCAAACCGCCCGCCAGCTCAGCGATCCGCGTCGCTCAGTCAAACCGTGACCCCGAGGCGCGGTTTTAGGTGGAGTAAAAAGACGAAACCGCCCCTCCAGCATGCGGTTTCGTCCCTATATAAACCCCACCCCTCCTCCCATTTTCTGCACACCAAACACAAATTCCCCCTCTCTCTCTCTAACTCCTCACTCTACCCACCCCCCTCCCCACCCAAAAACCTTAGAATTAGTTGTTTTGTTGGTTGTGGCTAAGTCCGATCTGCCTTCAAAAAACTTTTTCTTTGGTTTTCACTAAAAACCCGTCGAATTTCTGTCCAGATTCTGAAAAAAATGGTTGATTTCATCAAAGAAGAGGGTATTTGCTATTATGGTTATCAAGCGGTACGTACTCATTTTACCCAATTGTTGTTGTTGTTGTTATAATGATTTATTTAATTTATATACTAATTGATTTATGTTGTTGTAATGCTATCGTAGGTTGGGCCGGATGTTGATATATACAATTAACGATATTATGTTGATCAAGGATCGATTGATCCGACTATTTTATACGATCAAGCCAATCATCGTTCAAGAGAAGTTTGGAACGACCACAAGGTACAACTGAAATTTGAAGAAGGAGGAGGAGTGAAGATTTTGAGTTCTCTGGAACAGCATTTTATAGGCGAATTTTACAGTACAAACCGCGGGGTGGGGGAGCGGTTTTAGGTCTGCCATGCAGCCCCACCCCCTGCATGTCGACATGTTGGATGTCGGGTGACCAGGCACAAACAGCGCCTTGGGGCAGCGGTTTACTTTACACAAACCGCCAGTGGGGCAAGCGGTTTATGTCTGCACGTGGTAAACCGCGACCTGGTGGTGCGGTTTACGAAGCCGACATATAAACGCTTCCTCACGAAGCGTTTTGTGGTAGGGCAGCCATATAAACCGCTCTTTCGAGGAGCGGTTTTACCTGAAATGGAAAACCGCCTGTTGACCAAGCGTTTCTGATGTAAACCGCAGCCTGGTGGCGCGGTTTACATATTAACCGTCCCTTAGAGGCGCGGTTTTTAATAAACGGTGATATTTTTTAAATTTGTTGGAAATGGGTGGTATTTTTGTTTTTTTTTTTTTAAACAGTGGTAGTGTTAGAAAGCGAATTATCTCGGGATCTTATATTTATTATTATAATTACTATTAGGGTAATCCTTATTATGGTTAGTAGACTTCTAGTAGAATTAGGTTATTTCTTAGGGTTTTCTAGTATTTCCCTATATATATGTACTTTGGGTCTTTTATCAGATTAAGAAGAAATTAATAAGAAAAGTCATCTCCCCAAATCCCTAATCTTCTCTCAATCTCGTCTATCTTTTTCTCTAAAGGTTTCGGCCATTCTATCTCTGTTCTTCCCCAATTCTATTCTCAAATTCCTAATTCTATCTTCCAAGTCCCTAAATTCCCAAATATCAAACCCGTTAGAAACTTTGTTTCTAACATCTGGTATCAGAGCCCGGTTTCGAGAATTGAGTTCGCCACAACTCTCAACCGGGGACGAGTTCTACAACTGGTTCGACGATGAGCTCTTCAAAGCTCTCGAACCTGTCGTGGGCAGAGCTGCGTGACCGGGCTCGCCACATCGGACGCCGTTGGAGCTCCGAAGAGTCGCCGACCGTGCTAGCAGAGACGGTGACCCGAGTCGCCGACAGCGAGCGACCACCAATGTCCGCTGAGACCGACGAAGCGGTGGAAGTCACCGTCAGAGGGAGCGACACGGAACCGGTGATGAAGGAGGAGGCTACGGACGGAGACATGACAGAGGAGCATCAGCTACCGGTCCGACCTGTGACGGCGGACGATGAGCAAGAGCACGACGAACATAAGAAGAAGAGATTCGCCATGGGGGTGAACTCAGCGGCAGAGCCTCCAACAACGAAAGAAGCGCCATCACTGTTGTCCCGATCAAGCACCGCCGAGGGCATTCCTATGACCATCATCGCAAATATTCCTTCCAGCTCAACTAAGAAGCTCGCCAGAAATACGACAGCGGTGATGATTCCACCTTCTCCAACAAGAGCTCCAACCGCCGGGAAGTCACGCCTCCCGCTCGAAATCTCCACCCATGGTCCCGGAAGTAACCAGGAGCACAGGGGTCAGATCAGGTCTACGACATCGACTGCCCTCAACCCGAAATCAGTTCCACTGATGTCCCCAATCAATAGTTGGAAGTTTCGAAAGAAAAAGTATACAGGAGCAGCCCTTGTTCCTCGGCCGCGGAACGACGACGCGGAAGGGATGGACAGGAACTCCGGGACATGGGCAAAGCTCCACGGAAGCAACGAACAACGACCCGGAGACGAATCGATGACGAGCCTCACGACAGGCTTGCCGGATCCGCGAATCCCGCGAGCTGTGCAGCAATCAGCGGCGGCTCTCTATGCGTGGACGATATCCGAAGAGACGATGAAGCACGGGATCGGCGCGGCTGCTTCCCTTGCGCAATTGACGTCGGTTCCAAGCCGGACGACGACTGCGAGGAGAGAAGCGGAGCAGGACCACCGCGAGTCTTCGCCGTCGGCGCGAGTCGCGCGGGTGACGCCGACCAGCCCACCCATGGCGATGACGGTGTTGAAGCCGGAGGAGGCGGAGCAGATCTCCCGGGGTTCTTCTCCTGCGGCGCGTCTGGCGCGGAGGGATTCGCGATCAGCGGTCACTCAATTCGCAGCGACGGAGCTGAGGACCCCAATGACAACGCCGACCGTTGGGGAGCTGACGGCTATCGGAGTGGATGCGACGTCGATGACGACGCGAGGCGCAGGGTGGACTTTCAGTCGGAGAATCGGGTCTCTCGACCAGAGGTATTGGCTGCCGACGAGGAACAGGGAGAAGGAGGGCGGTGAGTTTCCTCGCTCGATGCCGGAAAGTGAGAAGACAGGGGTTGCCGGAGAGTGGCCACCGTCCACTCATCTAGGGAGATGGTCACCGGCGGAGGGAAGGGCAGCGGAGCTGCCGGCGAGCGACGCGATGAGGGAGAGTGGCTGCGATCCTCTCGCAAACCCTAGGTCGGCTACACTGGGCCGCGGAGAGCAACAAGGGAGATTTGGGCCGAGTCGTGCTGCTACTCGGGTCTCTGGAGCGTTTGGGCCGCGAGGAAATGGGCAGAAAGCAAACCAGCAAAGCAGGCCAGCTGGAGAAGGGAGTTTTGCTGGGCCAGAGATTGGGCCGACGCGAGCTGGGTCAAGGAGTGGTGGCGGGCTGAATAACAAAAAAAAGGGCAGTTGGGTTCGAGTGAAAGATGGGCCGCATTTTCAAATCGGAAGTGGGCCTCCATTAGGCTGTTGGGTTAAATCTCTCTTATATGGAGCAGGCTTGAAAGAAAAGGAAGGTGGGTTTGAATGCTTAGCGGATGGGCTTCGAAAAGAGAGTGGGTCAAAGGCAATTGAAGATTCAACGAAGCCATCTGATGAGCTAAATTCAAGAAAGAGATATGAGAGTAATGATGAGTTAGTCCTTGAGGATAAATTCTTGTATGAGGAAATCCTTTTAGATTTCTTGAGTTGCTGGAGAATAATACCAACGAAAGGGAAGCTATTGGCGTTTGAACTTTCCACGGAGGCAAATAGTGGGCCCATGAGATTCATAGAATGGGGCCAACGAGAGAAGATTGGTGCAAGAAGTTCAAGTGTAGAGTTGGAGCATGATTGGAAGAAAAGGAAGCGCAAGCAGCGGAGAAGCGATGATCGGATTGGGCGAAAAGGTTGGAAGAACTGGGTCAAGTCGGTCAACCTTGAGGGCAAGGTTGGTCTGAAGGGGGAGGAGATGTTAGAAACCGAATTATCTCGGGATCTTATATTTATTATTATAATTACTATTAGGGTAATCCTTATTATGGTTAGTAGACTTCTAGTAGAATTAGGTTATTTCTTAGGGTTTTCTAGTATTTCCCTATATATATGTACTTTGGGTCTTTTATCAGATTAAGCAGAAATTAATAAGAAAAGTCATCTCCCCAAATCCCTAATCTTCTCTCAATCTCGTCTATCTTTTTCTCTAAAGGTTTCGGCCATTCTATCTCTGTTCTTCCCCAATTCTATTCTCAAATTCCTAATTCTATCTTCCAAATCCCTAAATTCCCAAATATCAAACCCGTTAGAAACTTTGTTTCTAACAGGTAGTTTTGGATTTTTTCCAAAAATCTTAGAGGTCCGACTGCCTCGATAATTATAAAGTCGTTATGGCACTACACAATCACTATTTACTTTTAAACAGACAAAAATGAAGGACAAACGCAAGCAACGACCTAAGTAACCGTTGCCTCTTCACAGAACTATTAGAAACGCCGCAAAACAACACTGATCGTACATGATTAGAAACGCCGAAATCTCCCCTCCCTACTCCACTAACATATAACATATACATCATTATTCACAAATATAAAATATTACATACATGAAAGTAAGTAAGTATAGGCCTCAAAAATATTGTAAATAAGAGTTAATAATAAATTATTAATTACAAAAATGATGAAAAAAACTCAAAAAAATCAAAATATTACAACATCACCTCACTTCCAGAAATTCGGTTCGGTAAATATTCGGTAAACCGACCGAAAAACCGCCCGAAATCGCTTCTTACGCCAAGGTTGTCAACCCACTTTGACCCTAACCCGGTGAGAAAAACCGGGTGCACGCACCCGCCAGCCCGACCACTACAAGGTACCGGGTTGGAGGTCAAATTGTGTCATTTTTTCATTGGCTTGCGAAATGCGCCTATTTTCCGATTTTTCTTTTCGCCTAGCTCAATTTTTGGAATGCTAAGTTGAACATTTGAATATTTATGTTATATAAGTGTGTGAATTTTTCACTATATGTTCGATCTATATACAATATGTTATTTTGGTGTAATATTATATGTTATAACTCATGTTAGATAAGATTTGATATAATTTATGAGGATAAGTACAATATAATGACATTTTCCATACTTCCGGGCCAAACCGGGCTAAAACAGTTGATTCATTAACCCTTGACCCACTAGCTCGACCGGGTCCGGGTCAACCCTCGGGTTGACAACTTTGTCTCACGATATTTCGGTAATACCGGTTTGTAACCGTTTATCGATAATTCGGTAATCTGTAAACCGGTTACAAACCGATATCGGTAATCGGTAACCAATTTGACCAACTTCGGTATACCGAAACCGGTAAATTCGGTAAACAATTTACCGTTTACCAACCAAATCCCACCCCTACGAAAACTCCCTATGATCTCTTTCCAACGTGAGCGAATCGAAACGAGCAACAGTCATAGTTCTAAGAGCTGCAAACAGAACCTATAACTGATTCGGTCGAATTGTTCCTTCTCTGTAAGGGGTCAGAGTGACAAACACAACTCCAAGGCACGGGAGATGTTCCATGTACAGTTGCTTCAGTTCAAACTTCCCAAAAACAGAGATCTAATGGGTTCAACACCAAAGCTCAAGGTATGATCTGAACAAGGATTAAGAAACTCAAGAGCAACAACTGTTCACTTCGCCCCCGCAAATTTGCTCATCATTTTCGCGATTACGGGAGCCACCTTTGGGTTTGATTGGTGCTTCGCGAGGTTGGCAGGGTTCTTCATAACTGAAATACACACAAAAGGTGGGAGAATCAAGTATGATACATTTATATTCAAAAACAACAATAAAGTAAAAGTTTGAGGCCATGATTGGTTGCAATGGATAAATATGCCCAAACACCGACCAGAGGCTTAGTCGGTAAGGCAAAAGCAGAGCTTCATGACTGCTATGTGCAATCCAACTCTATTCCATAGCGAACAGACCTAAAAGTGGTTATCATCCTGGGGGGTTTTTTTCTCTGAATGAAACATCTTTCAGCTTCTTGGTAACCATTTCAAGGTTAATCTGGAATACGTAACACCTAATGTCTTGCAGCAAGTAAATAGGATAGCTTAAGAAGTAAAAAAAAAAAAAAAATCAAAGCAATCTTAATGACAAGGCCCATCTGTTCTCAAAAGTCTCAAATCTCCAGGAGCCACGAGAGGGTTGAGCTTATTTGCCTTTAAGATTTGTTATTTCAGGATTCGTTTATTATACAGGGAAGTCCATATCCTCCAACTCCAGTATCGGATTAAACAGGGAAGTCCACATAAATGAAGAACCCAAAATTGGTAGAGTTCAGAATGGGACACAAAAACTAAGCAAAGAGACCTGAGACGAGAGCAGTGTGGAGTATTTGGCAAGATAAAAAACACTTACCATCTTGAAGAGCAGCCATGATTTCTGGATCACTAAATGCAGCCATCATGTCAGGGTCCTGCCAATCATTGTATACTATTAACATAGCTAACAGAAAGCAACAATGAAACTATGCAGCAGTTGATAAATTCTCCCAGTCAATACTACTTCGACGTAAAACCAATTTGTGCATTGTTAATGAATTCAACCACATGCCACTCCATCGGATTATAATCAGAATATCAGACATGCAAGGCCATATCTATAAAAAGAGTGGGATGCACAAATCAAATTACATAGCAGCTAAGTCACCTTTGATAAATATACAAAGCAGCCTATTGATTAATTGGACAATACTCACATTCAGTATTTTGCTGAAATCAACATTTCCAGGCGCTCCACCTGGCATGCCACCAGCTCCAGGAAACCCTCCAGGCATACCTCCTGCACCTGGAAACCCTCCAGGCATGCCCCCTGCTCCTGGGAACCCAGGCATGCCTCCTGGGAAACCTCCAGGCATGCCTCCAGGGAATCCTCCAGGCATGCCTCCTGGGAATCCTCCAGGCATTCCTCCGGGTCTTCCACTGGAAGATGATTGCTCTTGCTTCTTAGCCTTCTCATACTCGGCCTTCGTAGGCATCCCACAACCACAAAATTCAGAGACCCATCCAATGGGGGAAAGAATAACAAAAGATCACAGAGATGAAGGAAACACAAGGATATGGATCTTGGATTAATCCAAGGTAGGTAATCACAACTCACTTGTGCTTTAGCACGGCGGCGTTGTCTCTCCTTCTCAGCCTTTCTATCCTCCCTCTCTTTGCGTAATCTATCATACTTCCTACGGTGCTCGTCAAGCTTGTGTGCATTGGGTTCAACCTACACAGTAAAACAAGCCAGCAATTAACTCAACCTCCTCAAAACTAGGGCGAGCAAGAAACAGATAGACCACGCCACTACATTAGTACTGCATTATGGAAATCGGGCATATGTAAGTGAACAATCAGACAGACCTTCTTAAGAACAGCGCTTATCTCCTCATCATAATCCAACTTCGATGCAACATGAAGATCCTTAGCAGCCTCCTCCCACTTACCAAGCAACGAGCATGCCATGCCACGAGCTTTGTATCCCTTAGCTGAGTCTGGATTTATCTGCCAATCAGAGATTGAAATGATCGCTTAAAACTTGAAAACTATGCTCAAGCCCAAAGAATTGTTGGTTCAGTGAACAACAAACCTTGAGAGCAGCATTAGCATCCCTAATGGCAGCATTGGGTTTCTTCATCTTGATATAAACAGTGGCTGTGATCATGAATACAGAAAATCAATCACGAGAACAGCTTAAGCCAGCAACACACAGTCTCCTAATGAACATTCAATCAAACAAACACCATACCTCTCGTCCCATACATTATAGCTGAGAGCGGATTAAGCAGGATAGCTTCAGTTAAATGCTCAATGGCATCTTCTAATTTCCCTACAGACCAAAAAACAAACAGATTATATTACTAGACTTCATAGGCAGCAAGCCAGGCGCAAGCTAGCAATGAAGAAATGAACACTTATGTCATGCCTTCAGAGATAGCTTCCATAGCTTTGGCCTTGGCCTCCTGTGAAGCATCACGGTTTTCCTCAGTGACCTCTACCGACGAGTCTCCCATCTAAAGCACAACAACACAATTCCAAAACCCTCTCAATCACATAACAACAACTGCAAATCGAAGACCTAAGAAGTTCGTCGGATTACCTTCTGCGGCGGATCATTGTCAGGCTCGACAGTCTCGCCTTCCAGCTCGACATCCGACTCAATTATCTCATCCTCCTCTTCTTCCTCCTCCGGTTCCTCGACTGAAGGGGATTCCTTCTCCGGAATCTCCTCGTCGCTATCCTCGTCAACATGATTCTTCTGCAAATCACACACGAAATGAAACGATCCTAAAACGAACACAAAAGGCACAAACGAGGAAACCTAAAGAGCGGGAAGGACAAACATCGGGCTTACCGATCCGGAGTAAGCAGCGGGAGGTAGTTTAGCACCGAGACTGAATGCACCAGAAAAGACAATAGTAAATGCAGGCCATAGAAGCGACAATCACAGAGAACTCAGCAGAGAAGCAAAGACAAGTAATATTACCTCTCGAGGTAGTCGCGGAAGAAGGAGAGAGTGGGATCGGTGAGAACGGAGGGATTGGACTTGCAGAGCTCGACGAAGTTCTTCAGTTCTTTGAGTTTGACGGCGTCCATTGCGAGAGCTTGGAGTTCGGAATTAGGTTTACGGGGGGGGGGGGGGGGGGGGGGGGGGGGGAAGGGTGATGAGAGAAAGAACAGAGAGGGAGGGAATTTGCTCGATGGATTTGAAGGGTAAAGAAGAATAACGGTGGAATGATGGGAGACCGGCCGACTAGGTTGTTTTTTGCTTCTTCTATTAGCTTCCTCGAATACTCTACAGACTACTCACTACAGTAAGTCAGTAACGCCCTAACGGGAGAGATTTTGAAGGGTTGTATTTTTAAGGCAATCCGGCTAACTTAGGGGTCGTTTGCTTGTGGGATTTGGATGATGGATTTGAAACCCAAATCCCAAGCATCATGGAGTTGACACAAATCCTTTGTTTGTTGAGGGACACAAATTCGTGGGGTCCACGGATTTGGACCCATTTTTTAGATCCAAATCCGTGGACCCCACGGATTTGTAAATCCCACATTTCATTTGGGATTTGACAATAGAAGGAAAAAATGTGAGACAAATCCATCACAAATCCATGATAAAAAATCAACTAAACAAACAATGTACTCTTCCAAATCCATGATGCAACAAATCCATCATAAATCCAAAGGTTTTTAAAACTCAAAACCTTCATTTTCAAATCCAACAAGCAAACGAGTTGTCAAGGTTGTCAAATCATTTTGGGGTCGTTTGGATTAGAGATTTTGATAACGAGGGATTTTAATTAAAATCTCTCGTTTAAAATACCTGGAAATTTGTATGTGGGATTTGATCGAAATAACTCGTTTGGATTGAAACGCAGAATTTTAACCTTAAAACTCAATTTACAATATTATCTTTTGTCTTCTTCACTTGTTGGTTGTTCATATTCTACCTCATTTACTCAATCAAATTACAAACTAGAACAATGGTTCCTTCTTCTACACCTACTATTCGCAGCAATCATCTGTTCTTCCCCTGCTTCTACAATAATTAATCACAACAAAAGCTGCTTTTCTTTTATACTTATATCACAAACCCAAAATCTCATAACTGTGTGCATATTAAAGAAGAAGATAAAAAAAACCCAGCATGAAAGATAAATAACAATGCCAAAATCACAAATCCAAAATCTCACTCCCTTCCAATTCCAAGCGATTGGGTTTGCAGAATAAAGAAAGAATTGCTAGTCGATTGAAACCCAGATTGGGCGATTCCCCCTTCTCTCTCCCATCTGACCCCCTCCCCGTTCCCAATATTCCATCTGAACCCGCCAATTTCCCAGCTTCTTCTCGATTCTTTACCAGGAATATTCGAATAGCATATCGGAGCCGGCGTGGCGGGTGTCTCCGGCGCGACCAGTGAACCCAGAACCAAGGGAGAGCTTCTCCGCCACAGAGAAGTTGTGGATGGGTTGTTATTAGGGTTCATGCGCGGCGGTGAAGGCGACCAGTGAGGAAACGCTTAAGCGTAATAGATTGAATCCAAATTCCAGATCTCCCGCCAAGGAGGATGGTTGAGTCGACTGGGAGTCAACGACAAAGGACGATGGGGGAAGGTTGACAACTGTGGCGGTGGTTGGGGAAAGCTGGAAGCTGCTCCGGGATGCTCTGTGTCTGTGACAGTGGAGTGGTTTGAGGACGAAGGTTGGCGGAAGAAGGGTCGAACAAGGGTAGGTTTTGGAATAAATGAAAGAAGAACGAGAGATTTAGAAATAGCTGGTAGTGATCAGCTATTTCAAAAACCCACGATTGAGGGTTTTTAAATTTCTTAATTGTAAAATCTCTCATCATTGCCAAACGCAGAATTGTTTTAAAATCCTGCATAATAAGGAATTGTGCTAAAATTTCTCTGAAATCCCTCATTAGAATCTCTAATCCAAACGACCCGTTGGGTCATTTGGATTCAAGTTTTTAATTTGTGGGATTTTGGCTCAAATCACTGGTTTAAAAACTCAGGTTTTTAATTTGTGGAATTTGTGTGGGATTTCAAAATAGCTGATCACCATCAGCTATTTCATAATCCCACAATTGTGGGTTTTTGAAATCTCTAATATTTAAAATCTCTTATCATATAATTGCTTTCCAAACGAGTGATTTTAATAAAATCCCACATTATGTAGGATTGTGCCCAAATCCCACACCCAAAACCTGCATCCAAATGACCCTTTTAAGTCCTTAAGTGAGAGATGTAAATAGTTTGAGATTTGATCGGTTGGAATTGTTTTATACATAATTTAGAAATTTATAAGTATATAATAATAATTTAAAATTTTAATGACTAAAATATATTTTAATTTATAAGTACCCTAGTCCCTAATTATTTAACTCAAGCCACAAGATTCAACGGTTCCGATTCAACGAAATATATTGAAGTGCAAAAATCAAGTGTGAACACTGACGTACGCTAGCCTTTGCCATATATACATATATGGTGCCTTCTACCTAGGGATGGCAATCAAACCCATGGCCGCGGGTACCCGACCGCCCCCGACCCAGTCAACGCGGGGAATCCCCGCTTTGACCGGGTATGGGGCGGGTATGGGTAAAACCCGCAAAAAGTTTGATGGATATGGGGCGGGTATGGTTTTAGCCTCCCCCGCCCCATACTCATACCCATACCCGCCCCACCAAGAGAATTTCTTCACATATCAAAAAATATGTGGATTAAATTGTAATCTATCAATGATGATGATGATAACTCGAGAAAAAAATAGTAGAAATGCAATTGATTAACCACCTTAATCAAAACCTAATTCATTTCCCTCAATTCTCCTTCCACTCTTTCACTTTCCCCCTTGTCAACAAGATTATGTTAATTAATTATTACTTAGTAAATGTATCAAGAGTTAGAGCATAATAATTTAAAAAATATTGTAGTCTATATTATGTATTAATGGATGTTTTAGGATCATATTCTTTGAATCGTATTTAGAAAATGACCGTGTTTTGTTGACTTCATGATATAATATGTTTGTTTATGGTTATAATTAAAACTTTTCTTGTAAGTTTTAGGTATAATAATGTTGGATGTACGGGGATGGGTATTATCCATGGGTACCCGAAACCCACGGGTATGGGGATGAGTTTGCATAACATTCCCCGCATGGGTATGGGGCGGGTATGGGTTTGGGTATTTGAAGATGGAGATGGGGATGGGGATGGTTTAGGCAAACCCGCCCCAAAACCGCCCCATTGCCATCCCTACTTCTACCGTACCCCGGGTGAAATCCAAGGTACCATATACCTTGAGTATGAAAACGCTATCTAGACCTCGAATTAACAGTATTTTTGGGCATGATACTATACCCTAACCCTTAATGAGTGAACCCTAGGTCCTAATTATCTAAATCATAAACTATAAACCCTAAGATTGTGCATTGATATTTTTGCCTATATTTGGACGAATCATAACTGTCGATTATTGTTTCTAATTAAATTGACCTTGGGGTATAAGATTTAGAGAATTAAGACCTAGATTTTGATCTTTAAGGGTTAGAGTATAGTATCATGTCCGAAAGATCAGTCAATTCAAGTTCTGGATAGCGTTTTCTTACTCAAGGTATGCGGTACCCCGAATTTCACCCTGGGTACCGTAGAATATATATATATATATATATATATATATATATATATATATATGGTTCAGGCTAGCGTACGTACGGGCGTACGTTAGGTAGCGTACGCCACATAGAGTTTTGCTATTTATATCATGATTTAACTGGAATTTGGGACATGATACTATACCCTAACCTCTAATGGGTGAACCCCAGTCCCTAATTTTCTAACCCAAACCATGATATTCGTTTAATCTTAAAACAAAAATCTATGATAATTTCGACGAATCAGAAGTGTTGATTTTCATTTTAAGATTAAACGAATCTCATGCTTTGGGTTAGTGCATTGGGGATTGGGATTTAGCCTTTAGGGGTTAGAATATAGTATCATGTCCTAAACTCCGGTTAATTCATTGTCTAAATAGCAAAACTCAATAGGGCGTACGCCAGGCGTACACTAACCTTTGCCATATATATATATATGGTGACTACTTCAGTGCATTCACAAAAATGAGTGCGTTCAATGCACCCAACTCAAAAACTAGTCTTAAGGTATCAGATTTTGAATTTTAATTTGTAGAATTATTGTAATATGATGATATAACATATGATAACAACTAATTAGTGGATTACCCTAAGCCCTAGACCTCCAATTTTGAGTTCTATCCCTAAACCCCAAATTGTAAACCCTAACCCTAACCTTAAATCTCTAACTCTAAATCCTTCAAATTAAAGTAAATCTTCAATAGTTTTTGTGCAAATTCATGTGCGTTATTGTTCATCACATCATAAGTGATGATTGACATCATTTTGACATAAATCGCATGTTTAAAATGACGGTTATGAAGTGAGTGCACTGAATGCACCCAAAAAAATGAGTGCACCGAAGACGCCACTATATATATATATATATATATATATATATATATGGTTTAGGCTAGCGTATGCCCGGGCGTACGTTAGGCTACCGTACGCCCCGTTGAGTTTTACTATTTAGATCATGAATTAATCGGAGTTTTTGGCATGATACTATACCCTAACCTTTAATGGGTAAACCCCAGTCCCTAATTTTCTAACCCAAATCATGAGAATCGTTTAATCTTAAAATGTAAATCAATAATAATTTTGACGAATCTGAACCGTTGATTTTCATTTCAAAATTAAATGAATATTATGCTTTGGGTTAGTGAATTGGGGACCGGGGTTCACCCATTAGGGGTTAGGGTATAGTATCATGTCCCAAACGTTGGTTAATTCATTGTCTAAATAGCAAAACTCAACGGGCATACGGTAGGCTAGGGTACGTCCGGGCGTACGCTAGCCTACCGTACGCCCGTTGAGTTTTGCTATTTAGACTATAAATTAACCGGAGTTTGGGGCACGATACTATACCCTAACCCCTAATGGGTGAACCCCAGTCCGCAATTCACTAACCCAAATAATAATATTCATTTAATCTTGAAATGAAAATCAATGGTTCTGATTCGTCGAAATTATTGTTGATTTTCATTTTAAGATTAAACGAATCTCATGATTTGGGTTAGAAAACTAGGGACTGGGGTTTATCGATTAGTGGTTAGGGTATAGTATCATGCCCAAAACTCCGGTTAATTCTTTATCTAAATAGCAAAACTCAAACGGGCGTACGGTAGTCTAACGTACGCCCGGGCGTACGCTAGCCTGAATCATATATATATATATGGCAAAGGCTAGCGTACGTCCGGGCGTACGCTAGCCTACCGTACGCCCCATTGAGTTTTGCTATTTAGACAAAG